CAAAAAAAAAAAAAAAAAAAAGGAATTCCTACAACTCAGTAAGACAGCAAGTTCAGAAAAATGGACCAAAAAAACTTGAACAGATATTTTGCAAAAGAAGATGCAAAAATGGCCAGGACACACATGAAAAGTGCTCAATCTCACTGGCCAGCTAAAATTGAAGAGACACACTTCCCACTCGGGCAAGGGTGTGGGACCCTTGTGCACTGCTGGGGGGAGGGAGTGGGCACGCAGAGAAAGTCTGGTTGCTCCCTGCTGACCGCAGTTCCACCCCTGGGCTCACACACACAGGTGAGTGTTTACAGTGCTCCCAGCACCACTATTCACGACTGACAATGGTCTAAGCCAGGGGCAACACGAATGCCCCTCAACGGTAGGAAGAGCAAAAGGGGCTATCATGTGAGACACGAACCAACGCAGGAAAGACAGACTGCGGACCCACGCCACACGCATGGGATGTCACGCTGCGATTCTGATTGGAAAACTGTAGGGCCGGGCGCAGTGGCAGACACATGTGATCCCAGCGGAGGCAGGAGAACGGCAATTCCAGCCTGGAGAAGCTGAGTGAGACCTCGTCTCAAAATAAAATAAAAGGCTGGGGGTGCAGCTCACAGGCAGAGTGCTTACCTAGTAGGCACAAGACCCTGGCTGGGTCTAATCCCCAGGACTGAACAACAAAAATGAACTAAAGGAAGAGTATGCATAAAGCAGCACAGAATATGCACTTCCACTGATGTGAGATTCAAAAGCAAGCAGCCTGGTCCATGGTGAACAAAGTCCAGATGATGAGACGGCCTGGCGAGAGAGGGGCTGCTGGGAACCTGAAAGGTGTCTATGCTGACCCAGGGGCGGCTCAGCAATGGAGATGCACATGTTGGAAGTTACATCACAATTATGTGGTTTTTTGAGATAGTCTGTTGTTTAGGCTGGTCTTGAACTCTCAGCAATCCTCCTGCCTCAGCCTCCTGAGTGCCAGGATCACAGGCACATGCCGCCACCACATGCAGCTACTTAGACCACAATAGAACACAACAGGATGCTGCCCTCGCTGTGCTTGGCAGTGCCGGAGTCTAGAAGAGTGCTCCGCCCACCTTGGGCTGGCTCCTCACCGCAGGCTCCCTTTGCCCCCAGGCCCCAGGCCAAGAGCAGGGCACCCTGGGCATCCCGAGGCTGTGCCGCCCCATCACTCCCCATGAACAGATGCCACATGTCCCGCCCGGCCCCTTCCCACACTCACCGATCTGGTCATTGCCATTGCAGGAGGCAAAGTGGAGCGCGGTGCGGCCCTTGTCGTCTGCTGCACTGGGGTCCACGCCATCGTCCAGCAGCTGCTGCACTGACAGCACCAAGGGGGAGGGAGGGAGGTGAGCAAGCGGCAGCATTGGCCCCACGCAGGCCCTGCGGAGGGGCAGCACCTTAGAGCCCCAGAGAAGGTGGCCGCAAGGCGCGAGAGCTGGTGCCCAGATGCTGTCCCCACGGATTCTGCCATGACAAGGGGCTTGTTCTAAGGAGGGTAAAACTGGGGACTATGGATTCCAAGTGCTCAAACTACAGTCCAGAGTACCAGCACTAGGGAGGCTGAGGCAGGAGGATTGCTCTGAGTTCAAGGCCATCCTGAGTTACATAGTGATCTGAAAGTTACCTTGGGCTACACAGCGAGACTCTGTCTCAAAAAGTCAAAAAAAAGGAAAAGAAGAGACCTCCCCTGCATAGACTCTGACCCCATGCCTCTATCTCAGCTTGCGTCCACACCCATTCCAGCGGCACACAGCTGCCCCACTACCGGCTGATGCTTATTTGGAGGGGCAGCTCTCCAGGAGGCAGCCTTTTGGACCGGACAGAACATTGGTTCTAGGGACTCACAGACTAGCCCCAGGCTAAGCTACACAAAAAATAAAGGAGTCCAGTGCCAAGAATACAGGGAGTAGGGAGCTGGGCCCAGGGCTGCTCTGATGACAGTAATGGATGTGAAATTCCCTCTCAGAGTCTGCAGGTGCTGTAATGGGAAGCATCACACACTAATGTCTGCAGTTAGCTGAAAGGGGGAAAATTGCTGCCGAGCATCATTCTAGAATCAGCATTTTAGTCTCTTGTCCAGCAGAGCCCTTGAGGACTTGCGTCCTCCCAGCCCAAGTTCAAATTGCTTCCCATCAAGAGTCATGGGGCACAGACAGCCCTCCTCTTCTGTGCTTCCAAGTGTCTTGCTTGTCCTGCTCCTTCCCAGCTACAGCCCTCCGCATCCTAGAACAATCTGATCCCTTTGCACACTGAGCCCGGCCAGGCACCAGTACCCAACAGCTTACCACCAGCTCACCACAGGAGCCAGGCATGGCGTCACGTCTCCTTCAGAGCACGAGACTTGGGCCCAGACGGCCACTGTAACCCAAGTAACAGGAACAAAGCTGGGCTGCAAACCAGGGTTTTTCTAGACTATTTTTGTAGACCAGGCTGTCCTCAAATTACAGCGATCCTCCTGCCTCAGCCTCCTGAGGGCTGGGATTACAGGTGTGCACCACTATGCCCGACTTAAATCTGGGTTTTTCTGCTCCAGAAATCACAGCTCTCCAACTGAACACATCGCTTCAGTTTTCTGTCTCAGATTTTGCTTTGGAAATGGTATCACTGTGTCGCCGTCATCTCCAGCCATGCTGTAGGTTTTTTCCTTTGGGTATCAAGCACAGTGTCCATGAGTCAGGCCAGCTTAGTCAGTGCCGCTGGTGGGGTAAAGGAGTGGACGGGGCGGGGGACACTGGGAGGGCAAAGCAGAAGTGAGAGCTCTGTGTCATCACGGTGTCTAAGAGGACATTTGCCGAAAGAGAACACAGCAAAACAGCCCACTCTAGTTCCGGGATTCGTGCAATTAGAGCCTTTGGAGAAAGTACTTTAGCTGCCTCTATTGGAGCCATCAAAATATGCGTACCCTTTGATGTAACAACTCCATACCTGGAAGGTCATCTTGAAAATGAAAATAAATGACACTAAATGACTGTCTTTCCAGGGCTCATGTGCTCCCATTAGAAGTTGTGGTTATGGGGCCACAGTGATTGCTCAGCAGGAGATGGCTCACCTAACACTCTTAAGGCCTTGGCTTTAATCCCCAGCACACATACCCCAAAAATCATGGTTTTAACTGGGAAATGGAACTACAAAGTGATTTGGGGCTCTTTTCTGAGATGGGGGTCTTACTATGTGCTCAGGCTAGCCTTGACTCCTGGGCAAAAGCGACCCTCCTGTCTCAGCCTCCCAAATAGCTGGTACTATAGATGTATACCACTGGCCTCACTTTGATTTTTTATTTTGCCGTTATAAGTTTTAGAAGAATCATACAGACATATGTTCATCCTATAAATAAGAAAAAGTGATGAGTCTATCTTGAAAACATGGTTACACAGACTATTAATATATAAAATATTATGTGGGCTATAACACATATATAACAGTTTATAAGCCCATAGAGAAAAATCCAAAAAAAAAACAACAAAAAAAAGTAAGTAAACGAAACAGAGAGATGGCAAGGTAGGAAGGACTTGGCCCACTGTTGCTAGATCGCACACAGGTGGCCTCTCAAAAAGATGGGAAAATAGTCTCCCATAGAACTTCCCAAATGAAAGCCCTGAGACCTGTGTGAGCTTCTGACCTAGGAAACAGATGGTTGTGCTCCCATTGCTGAGGCTTTTGATCTGAGGTAATCTGTTAAAGCAGCCACAGAAAACCAACAACCACTTTTCCCTGACTCACAGGAGGCATTAAGTCAGTGCATGAAATGACATATTGTTTTTTGTCCTAGAAGCTGTCCTTGTCTGTCTGATACCGCTACTGTCCCACCAGGAGAGCAGCAGCAAAAAACCAGCCAGGAAGTCCTGTGAATAGCCCTGGCCAGCCTCTCCAAGGCACTGCTAAGTAAAGAAGTTTAAGAGCCACTTGACCTGGTGGCCACAGTGTCACTGAGCAGCTGGACACGGCGAATGATCACCTGCAGTGAGAGCGGCTGTTCACCCTGTCAGCCACCAGTTCTCCAAGCAGCTCCTACTCTTTGTGGAGGGCGGTATTGGTGCCTGGTGAAGGCAGACGTAGTCCCTGGCATCATCAGGGAGCCCACAGGATGAGGAACACTGTGACTCAAGGCTCATGGGGGACAGGGAAGTACAGGCACTGAGTACCTAGGCCTTCACCTTCTGCAAGATGACTGCAGAGCCAGAGCCAGCACAGTGAGCTGCACGGAGCCGGAGCTGGCAGACTGCGTGGTGTTGATCACCTGATTCTCACATCTGCCCCAGCTCTCTGTCCCAGGGCTGGATCCACTGGACACACTCACCTGTTTCTACATCGTTGGCGTTGGCCGAGTCCCTCAGCCTCTTCAGAGCTGAAAGAGAATAAGAGAGGTTAGGCTTTTTAAAAATATCACCCTGATGACACAGAAAGTGCAAGGCTTCCAAGTCTTCCTCAGTCACCCACCCTTTGGGGACCACAGCACTAAGGGAAATGAAGGCGCCAGGACAGAAGACAAGGAGACACTTGAACTCTGGAGTGAGGAGAAACCTGAACCCAGCCAGGGCTGGAACGAAGGCCACTTTCTTTGGCAAATCTGACTTCTGGAGCCAGATCTTGTTTCTGCCGGTGGTAGTAGCTGGTAACCTTGAAACAGACAGTTTAACACCCTTGGGCCTCACACTGTCATTTGCAAAACAAGACTGGATTATTCTACCAGCTCTGGGTTGCTGCAAAGACAGAATAAGATGATTTACCTGGAAGCTTTGTGAGCTGATCACACCAACAAGCTTTGCACCTCCAAAATAGGTCAATTCCCAAATGACTTTTACCTAAACTTGGTAATTCCTAAATAGAAACTTTTCCCCTCCTATGATACTACTTCTATACTAAAGCTAATAGAAGGTAATGCCTTGAATCAGGTAATGCCTACAGCCTCGTACATGCTGTAATCCCAGCACTCTGGGAGGCTGAGGCAGGAGGATTGCCAAATTCCAGCCCAGTTTGGGCAACTTAGTGACTTAGTGAGAACCTGTTTTGTTTTTTTTTTTTCTTTTAAAAAAGATTAGGGATGTAGCTCAGCGCAAAGGCTCTGGTTTCAATCTCAGTACCACACACAAAAAAGCAATGCCTTTGTCTTCCAACAAATGGTTACAAAATTGCAACTCAGATAACTCAGATGTAATGGCTGCTTACATCCATATAGCATTCTATGGTTTCCACAGCACTTTCACACTCTCCTTTCATCCTCACACTACTAAGACTTGGGGTGAATTATAGTCTGAGAAGGGACCCTAAAAGTACCCATTTTAATCATTCTGGGCCTCAGTTTCCAAGGCATCCACAAAATGTGGAAGACAGTATGGTAGACAGATTAGAGCAAGAGGCCAACCTGTGCCCTGATACGGCACAGCAACTTTCTAGGTAGTTGCGGTGGCAAGGCAGTTTGAGTCTGTTTCTTCTTCAGCAAAAGGGAAACAATTTCTGTATCTCTGAGTTCCTATGAGGATTACAGATGATCCTGTATCTGAGATGGGAGATCTGATCTTTCTCTAAAACACAGAAAAGTCAAGAGGGTCAAATGGTAAGCACTAGCTAGGCGTGGTGGCCAATGCCTGTAATCCCAGAACTCAAGAGGCTGAGGCAGGAGGATCACCTGGAGTTTGAGGTCAGCATTGGTTACAAAGTGAATTCACTGTAACTTTTTTTTTTTTTTGGTACGAGGATCTGAACTCAGGACCTTGAGTTTACAAGGCAGGTGCAGCGCCACTGAGCTAAATCCCCGCCACAGTGAATTCAAAGCCAGTCTGAACTACATAATGAGGATACCCTGTCAAGAAAACCCACAAAACAACAACCAAAAAAAGTGAAATAATAATCACTAAACTATTTGACAACAATGTAGACAGGAGTTAGCACCAATTTTCTTTCTGTAGTAAATTCTACACAAGCTGTATACCCATTTCTGATCACAATGTGCTTTCTCACAAAAGTCAAAGCAAACAAACAAACAGGATCGCAAAACATCCAACAGTGTTTAGCACATAACAAACACATGCTAATAGCTATGCATTCAGTTTTTGCAAATGGCAAGGGGACCAAGAGACTAAGGGAGGTGGGAGAGGGCAGAGAAGAATTAAGATGTGTTATGCACAGCTACCAACTCCCCACGAGGAATGCAACCATTATGTACTGCGAACAGGACAGTACTAAAAACATTTTACAAAATAGCCGTATCCCCCTCTGTCTCTCTTAGAAGCTTTCTTTCCTTCAATAAAGTTTTCCCAGTCTTAAAAAAAAAAAAATAGCCGTGCATTCAGTACCTTACTTAACTCTTACAACGTTCTCCTAAGGCCGGTGCTGTACCCATTTTACAGATGGCCACCTAAGCCTCAAAGGACTTATAGTTTGCCTAGGGGCTAAGTGCGTTAGAGGAGTCCAGGGCTCTGCGTTTAAACAAGTCGGTACAACTACTTGGTTACAGACTCTGGCCTCCTCGCTCTCACTACCCCATTTTATTATCTGGTAATAAACACCGCAGTCATGGAAAATTTCTACTCGGGAATCACCAAATGAGAGAATCCTGAAATGACTGACTCGTCCTTAGCAGGTACGAGAGTAACTATTACCACTGAAGGGAGACGCAAGAGTCAGTCTAGAGGCCCCGGGCCGCTCACCGTGCACCTCTTTGCCCGTG